ATTCCCCCAGCTGTGAGCCTTCCAACCTTCTAAGTATTCCTTTATATGTGGCTCAGAGTTCTGGGACCATCCCCTGAACCTGATTGGTCGGGTATTCTGTGTTGTTGTTGGTGGAGCTCTCTGCTATACGTCTACCCGATCCGCCATCTTGTTTGTTCTCAAGAGCATTGTGTTTTGCTTTGAGTGACACAAAGGCTTTTGAGCAGAGTGGTTATGTAGTCTGACTGTAACAGGTGCAATACTGAGAGTAGACTTGGGGCAAGGGTGGAAGCACAGATACCAGTTGGAGGGCTGTATGGGTATTACGTTGAGAAATGAGGCTCAGACCAGCATGGTAGCAGAAAAGGTGGTGAGATTCTAGATTCTGGATATAGTATTGTGAAAGAAGAGCCAATTGAATTTCTTGTTAGATTGATGTGGATGTGAAAGAAAGAGCGGGGTTCTTCAAAGATGACCTCAGAGTCCTCAGAGATGGTTTTTGGCCAAGGAAGTTTAGCTTTTAGGCCAGAAGTTTAGCTTTTAATATTTTAGGTTTGATATTGAATAGGCAGTTGGATCTATATGAGTTTGGAGTTCAGAAGCAAGGTATAGGGTAAAGATAGATACTGAGGAGATTCGAAACAGTCATGGAAAAATTCCATTATCTTTTAATTTAATTGTGTTTTGAAGTCCTCTCATATTAATATCTATTTTCTATCTATTTGTCTATTTTCACACATACAAGGGGGCTTCAAAAATTTCATGGAATTTTGACGTGGTGTCTGCAGGGGATTGGTTCTAGGAAATCCCGTGGATATAAAAATCCATGGATACTCAAGTTCCTTATATAAAATGGTACAGTTAAGTGCCTTTGAGTCAATACTTGTGTATAATCTACACATATCCTTTTGTAAATGTGAATAATCTCTAGATTACATATAGTATCTAATACATTATAAATGCTATGTAGCTATCACTTTACACTCCATTTTTAACCTTTGAGGGATTTCTTTTTTTTCCTTTCACATATTTTGATTCATGGTAAGTTGAATCTGCAGATGTGGAACCCATGGAAGGCTGACTGTGTGTGTTTCTGTGTGCATAAGAGAATCACTGGCATATGGGTGGTATTCACAAAGGGAATGGGGTGATGTTACTAAGGAAGTAGTGTCTATCAAGAGTAGAGGACCAAAGACTATGTCATGGACTCTCCACTGTGAAGAAGTCTAGGTGAAAAAGAAATACTATCAAAAGAAGAATGAAAAGTGAGGGAAAGCAAGAGTATGTAGTGTTGAAAGTGTAAGGAGAGGGAGTGATGAGCCATATCCATGTCTGATGAACTGTGTCAAGTAAGAAAGAACTGAGAACTAACCAGAGATTTTTCAATGTGGACGTAATGCCTGGTTTTTTGTTTGTTTTTTTAAAACTTCATTGTGAATTGAGTAAAGGTTTACAGAGCATATCAGCAGTTTTACATTCAACAAATCACACAATTTGCTACATCTCAATGGTTGCAATTTCCTCCATGCAGCAACAGCTGTCCTGCTCTCTCCCTGTGGTTCCTATTTCCATTCTGTCCTTATTCCCAGCTCCTCTGAACCTTGTCCCCAGGTAAATGCTGCCCTTTTGACCTTGAATGGTTGACATGGTTATCATACTTTACTAATGTTGTTATTCCCCTATATATCTATCTACTGCTTGGTTGAAAATTGGGCCATGGGGTGAGTTCCTTTCTAGACTTGAAGGGTGGCTGAGGGCTGTAGTCTTGGGTTCCTCAAGTCTCTTTCTGACCAGTAAGCTTGGTGTTTTTTACGATTTTGAGTTTTGTTCCACATTGTCGCCCACTCTATCCTGGGACCTTCTAATGTGATCCCTCCTTTCATAGCAGTTGGTAGTGGAAGCCAGGTACCATCTAGTTCTTCTGGTCTTACGGTCGTAAAGACTGATGTTCACGTGTTTCATTAGTTTATTGGCCTAACTGATTCTTAGCATCTCTAATATTTAATTGAGAGACCAATAATTGCACCTTTGGTGGCTGCTCATGAACTTTTAAGATCACAGTCACTATTCGCCTAAATACATATTGCTCCACTGATGCTCAGTTTCAAAGGAGTAGCCAGTTGGGATAGATTTAATACACTAAGAAGAAAAGGAATTGGAGACACTGAGTACAAGTAACTGTTCTGAGATATTTTTCTATTAAGAGGAGAAGGGAAATGCTGGCAGGGGAAGTGTGGAGTCAAGAGTAAGAAAAATGATTGCGTGTCTATTGTTGGGGATGATTCCAGAGGGAGGGAAGGGATTAGTAATGCCTCAGACCGAGGGGATTTACTGAACTCAATCATTCTTGAGTAGGAAAGAGGAGATGTAGCTAATGCACAAGTGTAGGACTTGGCTTTTAGATTATAGTCATATTAGAGCTTTGAAAAGTCTATTACTTAAAATAATTAATCTTTTTTCATCCAAATGAAAAATTTTTATCTTATGTTCTTAATTTAGTTAAGGCTCTTCTGTCATTAATACATACAGAATGAAAAAAAAAAAAAAAACTATAATATTTCCATTGTATTTATTTAGTCATTTCAATGCTAATAGCCACTGAATTGTTTGCATTCTTTTTGCTATTACAAATAATGATGAACTGAATATCTTGGTGTATGTACATATTTGCATTCTTATGTAAGTACTTGTCAGTAAGATGAATTCTGTAAGTTAGTTACTGGCTAAAAGAGGTGCATTTTACTAGTTTAACACAGCTAGCAAAATTAGTTAATATTTTAGGTTCTTCCAGTTTTAACATTCTATGAATTTGGAAACAATTTAATTACATGAAAATAATTATTTTTAAATGTTTTTATCTCTTTTGAATGTAGTCTCAAAAACATAAATATAAAGTCCTTTTCCGGGAACCAGACACATGGTGGAAGTTTATACCACAGGAACTTGCAAGGTAAAGTTTGGGGGATACTTGATGTTTTTGTTTCATGACAGTGATAGAAATGATGAGTGTAACAAAATTGATTAGATTGTAACTTTGCCACTTAAACGTGATAACAAATTTTCCAGTTTTATGAACATTGTGTGTTCTTTTCTGAAATTGTTGTTGTTACGTGTTGTTGAGTTGGTGCCTACTCATAGCTGGTGAGTTTGAACTGCTGACCTTATAGTTCAAACGGACCTTGTGGTCTAGTGCTTTATCCCACAACACCACACCAGGGCTCTTCTAAAATTAGCTAACAGTAAATAAATCCAATTGTCTTACGTTGTTGTTGTTGTTAAGTGCCGTCGAATCGGTTTTGACCCATAGCGACCCTCTGTAGGGTTTCTGAGGAGCGATTGGTGAGCTTGAACCACCGACTGCAGTTCAAACAGCTTTGCAGTCTGGCGCATTAACCCACAGCACCACACCAGGACTCCATTGTCTTTTGTAGTCAGTACTTTATTAGCTATTAGCAATACAGTGTTAATATTTCAAACTGGAACAGACCCTAGGATTTGACACACCTGAACTATTATGAGAGACAAATGACTGTGGTAATCTAGTGATTGAGGAATACTGGAAGGAGGAAGGAGGGTAGAGATAGAAAAGGTAGCAGATGTCTACTATAAAGATATTTTAGCCTCCTTTCTCCCCACACCTGACAAGGCTATTTCTTGACTTGACACTCATGATGTGAACACTCAGTGTATTTGGCTCTGTGCTGTGTACTGCCTTAGAAATTGTTGTTGTTATGTGCCGTGGAGTTGGTTCTGACTCATAGTGACCCTATACAGGGTTTCCGAGGCTGTAAATATTTACAGGAGCAGAAAACCTCATCTTTCTCCCTAGAAACAGCTGGTAGTTTCGAACTGCTGACCGTTAGATTGGCAGCTCGATTCATCCTACCTTAACTGTGGTCAGGGCATTTCTTCTGGCAATTTAAACCAATTTCAGCACTAACTAGAGAACAACACTTTAGTATATTCACAGTGTTGTATACCTTCATCACTACCATTTGAATTCTAGAACATTTCCTTCACTTCAAAAACCTGTACCTATTAGCGGTCACTCTCAATTCTTATCTCCCCTTATTTCCTGGCAACCAGTACTCTCTGTTTCTTTGAATTTGTCTGTTCTGGACATTTTATTTAAATGTAATTATACAATCTACGTGGCCTTTTGTGACTGGTTTCCTTCCTTAGCATAATGTTTTCCAGATTTGTCCATGTTGTAACATGTATCAATACTTTTTTCTGATACTCTTGTTTTGCATCTATCTAATTGAGTTTGAACTACAGTTTTCCCTTCCTTTCCCTGCTTTGGTATCACAGTTTTAGGAGTCTCATAAAATTCATTGAAACATGTTTTTTCTGTTTGTTTCTCAGGTTTATGTAAGTTTGAATGTGTGATAGGATTTCCTTAGAAAACCTTCTGATCTGATGTTTTCTTTATGAAAATATTCAGTTAGAATTTTTTCTATACTTACTTTTTGAAATTGATGACAATTTATAGTTTTTTCTTACCTTTAAATCTCTGTACCACCTATACCTGAGTTCCACTTTCAGTCCTTATATGTTTATATTTATCTTCTCAATCTTGATTTTTACCAGAGATCAGATTTTTTTCTTTTTTTTTAGCTTTTTACATAAATAACTCTTGGCTTTATTAATTCTTCTCTATTGTAAATTTATTTTATGTTTGATTAATTTCTCCTCTTCTTTACTTTTGGAAAATTTCTATTTTTTTAAATTGTTTTTAAATTTCCTTACTTGGAAGTTGAGATCATTTAATTGTAATATGAACATTAAAAATTTTCCTCTAAGTATTACTTTAGCTGCTCCCAGAAATTCATTATATAAACGTTTTTGTTACCATTTGGTATTTTCTGAAGTGCATATTCCATTTTATTTAATTTAATTGATTTTTAATGTAACTATAGTAGATCAAATTGTGTGGTTTGTGTGATGCTGATTTTCTGATTTTTTAAAGACTTTTTTTATTTCCTCATTCATTGTCAGGTTTTTTTTTTTTATGTTGTTTGTTTGCTTGATAAGAATCTACACTGGTTACAGCATGTTAATGGTGGTGGTGGGTGGTTCTGTGCTGTGGAGTCCCGGTTCTAACTCATAGTGATCTTGTCTGTATAGGGAGGGTTTTTGAGGCTCTAAATCTTTATAGGGGTAGAACGTCTCATCTCTCTCCCGTGGA